TTTCGTAGGGAACGGAGCGACCCAGCCCACAGCGCCACCGACTGTAGAACATTTAAGAATGCATGACGTCTGCTCACGCAGCAGTAAGCCGATTCCAGTAGTGCCAATGGATTTTGTCAGTCTTATTGATAAAATTTACATTACGTTACATTATATTTACTACATTTTAACATTATTAAACACACACAATACACATATATATATATATATATATATATCAATGTCACGCCTGCATCACAATTCAAGCCTACAGCGAGCCCTCCCCACCCAAAAGAGCGCCCACTACCGCCATGTCCCTATTCCTGATAGCCATTTTCAAGTTATAGTCCAGGATCCCCCGCTCACTCTCACCCACCGCCCGTCTGATTAATTTGCTGATCGCGTCGTCACTGGTATTCGTGTAGTAAACACAGCTGTTAGTGTGACGGGATATAGCTACCACGGCGTGCGGTACACTGTCGTGTATCCGCTGTTTCTTCTCCGCTGTATTCACAACAACCACTGCCGCGTACGAAAGCCCCTGAGCCTCGTGTATTGTGAGTACGCGTGATCCCACACCCGATCCGTATCCCTGGTTTTTAAGGGATTCCTTTTCTACCTGAGTGTGTACCAGGTATAACGTGTTCGGAGGAGATTTGGGTATTCGCGACCCTGAGAAGCTTTTTAACTCAAGGGATCTCACACCCGACGCGGACGAATATATGCCACTGTACACAGTACTGAGAGCATATGCCACATCCATAGGGTTTCTGTGAGTGCAGAGAAGTTCTTGGCTAATAGCCGCGACGTGCGTAGGGCGGTTGTAAATGAGGGGGAAGAGGTTGTCTCGGTCAATGAAGGGAAGTTGATTTATGTCACCAATCAGCAGAACTTCCTTGGCCCGAGTTATTCGGGCCGCCATCACAATGGCCCCAAAGTGATTCATGAGAGCCTCATCAACCATGATTCGGTGGCAGCTCTCTTGCTCTTTTAATCCGTTCACTAAAATGGATGCCATTGTTCGGACTTTGGATTTGACTAATCCTCCGATTCGGCAGGATAGTTTGCCTCTGAGGTCATTTGCTGCTTCAGTTGTTGTGGTGACGATTAAATCCCTTTCCGCTTCGAATTCATTTATTATCCATGTAGTTTTGCCGCATCCCGGCACTCCATTTGTCCAGTGAAATGTCGGGGCATCCCAGCCCCCAAAGTCCACGCCGCCCGGCCCAGGCTCCGAAATGGATCCCACCATTTCCAAGATCCGATCCTCCAACATAATCCTGGTGCACCCGGCAACTACCACTAAGGAGTCTTCAGGAGGAGTTTTAAATTTCACAACTCCCCGTTTATCCGATTCCTTCTCATCCAGAGACACAAATCCTGCGGTGGCGTTGTAAGCTGCCATACTACGACTTATAGAAGCTCCTCTCAATACTCTCGATTTACTGTTGTCGTATATGACCGCCTCCGCAGCCTCGAGTCTATCATTCAGTAACAGCTCGTTACCCTGCAGATATGCCTGCAGGATCGTTTTGCAAGTTCGCAAGTTAACTTGTTTTGTTGCCTCTATTACTGCGACAAACTCGAGGAAGGCGTTTATGAGGTGGTCTCTGGGAGTGGTGGCATGGCGAAACTTCGGCGGAGAAACGTGACCCATGGCGGCTTTGGTTGGCGGTGACCTGGACTGGGCAAGATGCACCCGAGCACTGTCGCCTCCCCCGCGAGTGGAGCCGGATTCACTCCTTCTGAAAGTCGACGAAATGAGACCCGCAGCTGTACATATGGCTGATGTTATTGCCCACATGTTGGTCCGTGAAGTTTGTTTCTTTATTTGTCTTTCGGTGTTTCGTTGTTGTTGCTGTAGAGCACTTTGTTCCGAATACCTGTGCTGCAGACGCTCCGAACCACTTGAAGAGCCAGCGATTGGTGAACTCTGGACCTTTTTTCTGAGGAAACTGAGGTCTTCACCCCTGTCCTCATAAACAATGACTTCATGCTGTTCTGAAGCTTGAATACAGCCCATGAGATCCGCTGTCTCTCCCCGCCGGAAAGCCACCACAGCAGCATCCACGCTGATAACTCTAGAATCTATGCCCTCTACTTTACCCCACTTACCTATACTGGTCAGCACCTTGCATGCCTGTTCAAAACAGGTTGTCGTATTGTTGCCAGAAAACATTGCGATTGTTTTATTGCGCGTCCGCAACAATCGACAGCTTTGACCGACCAGCTTTGTTTCTGGCAGTGCTTCATAGAGTTTGCGCCTCATGCTTGTTTTGAAAGTGCTGCCATTTAACAGGGAGGCAAGGCCTGGCGAGATTGTGAGCCATTTCTGGTGAGCGGTATTGCAGAAAGCGATCCCCAGTCTTTCGCTGCTGGTGCTCATGAACAAAGCAACTCCCCGAATACGTATTCCTTTGGTACCGTGCTCACCGTAAAGGAGAATTTCCCGCTCCTTAATTGTAATCCGCGGATCAGCCGTCGTTTCAAGGGGAACCCCGCTCACTGCTACAGCGGAATTAGACGGGTTGTCCAAGCTGACCACTGCTTGGCTCCTGTTATTGAGGGTGCTGTTTCTTTCAGCCGCCCTGCGAAAAATTTTATCTATGTAGTCTAGGAAGTGCGGTCTTTTCGCTTTGTCAGCCAAAATAGAACTCAGTTTAGCAGGATCCAAGCTTGCATCGATCCGATGTTCTAGGTTGGTTCTGGCGGCCAGGAAACGAGGACAGTCGAGAATGATATGCCATACAGACTCACTGATAGTTGGATCGCATTCGCAACCTGCACTTTCTGTTAGTTTAAATCGGTGCAGGTACTCAGCGATTCCTCCATGTCCAGTCAACGCTTGTACTTGGGCAGGTGTCAACTTTGTCGATCTCACTAATCGATATGCCTCTATTATATCCGGGAGAAACGATTTAGTTACCTGCCCAGTAGTGGAGGTTGTATATCTATCCTGCCACTTTCGGATGGTTTCATCTCTGATTTTCTTTTTGACATAAGACATGGGTACTCTACAGTAGCCTGTCGTGGTGTTGTCTTTTGTTTTGGCAGCGGCTTTAGCCAATTCATCTGCTCTCTCGTTTCCAACCGTTCCAACATGGGCTCTCAACCAGTAAAATCGAACCTCTCTTCCCTGCTCTCTGATGTTTTCAATACACTGTTTTATTTCTTTGGCTAACTGGTGGCTCACCTTGGGGTTTTTTAAGACATCGAGGGAGGATCTAGAGTCACTCATGATATTTACTCTACTCTCTTTACTGTCTTTCACCATTTTGGTGGCTCTATTCAGTGCATACAGTTCGGATTGAAAAACTGTGCAGGCAGAGTCCAGACTAAAAGTGGAAAACGCCGTCTCGCGGCCCCCCTCCCACCAACTTAAGGCAGAACCGACTCCTCCATCGATTCTGCTGCCATCTGTATATATATGAGGACCGGCAACTACGCTGGCGAGAGGAGATCCCGAGCCGTCATTCTCCAGGAGCTCATAATTTACTGAAATTAGCTTTGAGGGATGTGGCTGGTCCAGGTAAGGCACATCTCTCTCAAGCTCCCTTCCCGGTGGCAGATAGTCCAAAGAGAATCCCCTTTTGGTTCGATACAAACTGGCACTCTCCTGAATTCTTAGGTCAAGTGGGATTGTACCTGACAAAACTGTTGCTGACGTGAGCGACACTGTGCGATAAGCTCTACAGATCTTTTGTGCGAATCCCCTTTGGAGAGCATTTAGTTGTTTTTTAATCAACTGCAGCTCCGTCACTGGGGCCCATACATTCGCAGCGTAAAGCACAATTGGCTCAATGACCGCGACGTAGATCGTTCTCGTTATCTCGCCGTTCAGACCCCATGTCACCTTTGCCGCTCGTGATAGCTGTTTATAGATGTCTGCAGCTTTCTTGCACGTTGCGGATATATGGGACTTAAAAGTTAATTTTCTGTCTATGGTAAGGCCCAAGAGCTTTATCTCTTCTACGAGGCTTATCTTGGTGCCCGACATGTACAGGTCTGGAGGGCTAAAGGCGAGCTTTCTTGTTAGTAGCATCGCATTGGTTTTGCTTGCACCGAACTTAAGCTTGTTACTAGCCCCCCAGGTCGTTACCAGTTCCAAGGCACCATTTACAGACTGCTCCAAGACGCTCACACTATGGCTCGAGAACAAGAGAACCACGTCGTCCGCGAACGCCTGGCAATAAACCCCCCCACTTGTAAGTCTGTGAAGCAACGAATCAGGTTTTTAGTCATTAAGAGTCTGACACTCCCTCCCGCCTCACCCAGGCGGGAACAGTCATTCGATGATTTTCCCCCCTTAAAAAAAAAAGACGTTTTTCATCCACGAAGATGCGGGCTCTAAACCTGCCGATAGTAAATACCAATGTGACATTTTTCGACTTATATGTACTTTCTAAGATTTTTCAAACACCACTGACAAACGCATAGAATTTCTTATTTTATATTGAGAAATTATAAGTCTAAGTTTCCGTATTCAATCATTGATATTATAAGAATGAAATCGCCAATCCGAGGAAACGTGGTGGTTAATGCTCAAACCTTCTCCGCGTGAAAAGAGGTCTTTGGTCAGCAATGGATATTTATAGGATGATTATAACATTTAAATTATATGGCTGATATTCAATCAGAGTGAAGAATCGGATACCTCCTGTTATATAATATAACAACACTTGCGATCATTCCACACAGGAGGTATTCAGTTCAAAGTGTACTTTATTGGTAAGCAATACTGTCTTGCGTCGAAGGACCGAAAATTTTTACGACAGACGCGGCAACCGGTGGCCGTGCAAATTGAAGCTGGATCGTTTCCCGCACGGAGCAAATCTTTGTGTGCTCCACAAATTCGATAGATAACCGCCTTTAAAAATTTGATCAACCGTCTAACATAAAATTCCGAAATATACAGATTAGGCACCCTATTTTACGTAGTACCTGTCTGCTGTTTTCACGCACTTACCTATGGAATATTGAACAGTATTGAATAAATGATAACTAAAGAAGGTTCTACTTACTTGTGGCGCTTACTTCAGGCCCCAGAGACTCGAAAGCTTTGCCAAAACTCAGCTTAAGTAGGCGATCTGAATCTGAAACAAATAGTTTAACTTGAATTTCAGTTCCGCGCCAAAGAACGCCATCTGTGTTTTAAGTCCGGAGTGACTCTTCCCTTGCTATGTTATGAAACTGGTTCACTTTATTCGTGGTTGCTACGCTACCAGAATGCGTAGTATAAGCATATTTCTGCTAGAAGCTAGATGGCGCTGTTTCAAATTACTTGATGTCAAGTAGTAGAGGCAGTTATTGAACATTTGAATAAAGATACCTAACATAGAATAGAAGTAGCATCATAGTATATTTTAATTATGGTCAATATTCACAATCAGACCTAAGACAACATTCATAACGTAAGTACACAGCGTATAATACTTATTTGGAAAATAGTATTCAATATCATATTTTCGTATTTGAATATTTATAATAGCAAGTTGTTTATTATTCACAAGAGATTTCTATAAATATCAAGGAAATTTATTAAAAAATATTCCAAATAATATTCTGTTTAAGTTATTCCTAAAACAAATCCAACCAAGGTTTATTGGGAATTTGCATCTTATGCAGAAGTGTCAGGTGAGACTTGCGATTCCAATCTAAATAAGCGGTACCAAGAGGTCGGCTGGACAACCGCCAACATTTCTATTCATAGTAGGTACCTACCTACCATGTTGGCACTCGCAAATTTAACTGCAGCCGACGCATTTACGAGTCCCTCGTTACAAATTCACTACATTTTTTACTGTTTAATAGCCTCCATTTTCTTTCAGAAACATTTTAGTTAAATTAAAGAGAGGTTAAATTTTATACGTTACAAAAAAACTTCTGCCTTATAAAATAGATGTCGCTGTTAATGAAAATTAATCTTCGGTCAATTTTAGGCTTTTTTACGACTTTAGACTTTTGTTTTGCCTTGAAATTCTTCAAATTAATGTCTTACTGAAAACGATTTAGAATAACTTATCTATTTCACTAATGTGAATGAATTGAGTCTCTAACTAAAGTAACACCATACAAAATTCACAACACACACTTCAGAGTAGAGATCAATATTAATTGGGCAAATTGTGGCTCTAACTTTGCATTGAGTTGCGAGTAACTTGAGGTCGATACTAACCAATGTAGTTTGAACTTCTCCTTCATTAGTGAACACAGGAACTGAACCACATTACTGTACAATGGCGTGGATTCCTCTATTTATAGGTATGTGTATACAGTAAACTCAATTGAAACTATTCGTATGTTTCTCTCTCTTCACTTACCGGGGGAAATAAGTTATGGAAAGGCATAGAGGATATTTTGAGAGGTAAATTCATTGACAGAAAGTGGTAATAGCATTGACTCTTTATGTAAGTACCTACTACACTTTGACGGCTTATTCCTGTTTTACACCATGGAAGCATTTAATCGGAATAAAAATCGATATCCTATCTCTCAAGTCAGCCCATTCCCAGTCTTTAAACCAAATTTCATCAAAATCCGTTCAGTAGTTTCAACGTTATTGATGGACAAGTAAGTTTATTGTTATTTGCTTTTTGTTTTTAGCTGCTGTATTTTTTTTAATGTTATTCTATGTAATTATTGTTTTTTATGTTTTTTTACGTTATTTTTGTATATTTGGTGGGTCATGCCTAATGACGAATAAATTATTTTTATTTCTTTCTTCCTTTATAAAGTTTCTTTGTTTGGAAACTTTCACAGTTTTAATATTAGTGTGATCTGATTATTCAACATCCTATCATATGCCGCTATATTGCTGGTCTATGATGGACCTTTTCTACATTGAGAGTATGCCATAATCTACACGTGACAGTACCAGGATAGTTTAAAGTATATACCAACCAGCAGCAGTTGAGTCGGGTGGTGGTTGAAAGAGGAATGTGGCTGCGAACCCCTGGCCTGGTGTAGCCGAGTTGGCGGTGAACTGGATGAGCAGCGCTGGGCCCGTCGACAGCACCTCGTAGCCTGAAACATTATGTAGTTTTTATTAATATTGTAGTTCGTAGATGGTTAGATTTTGATGACTAGATTCATGGGCATTAACTATTTAATTGATAAGTTCATACATTTTTCAAAATATCTCCTTTGTAAGTTGTCTATGTAACCTATAATTTCACGTCTTATACTTCCTAAACAGTGCAACATAATCTATAGATGTTTAAATAGATCAGGATAACAAGTAAAACCCAATTTACTTAACAAAATGAAACCGCAACCGCATGACAGTATCGAATTCAAAACAGAAATCAGACGAAAGCTTTAAACTTGGATTAGAGGATGATCATGGGTCCTTTTAATCCAATCCCTAAGTTATTAGACCCAAATTGACCCCAATTTCAATTTTAGAGCTCATAGCTGTGACCGACTTTGAAGCTAAAGTTTAACGAATCTCCGATCGTGCACTCTAATATGTATTAACGGTTTAGAGTTCCAAGCCATGAAAAGTTGAACTGAAAATCCATCACCCAGAAAATCCCAGCGTAGTTCAGTAGAATTCAAAATCTCCTTTAAAACAAAATCTCCTTTCCTCACAACAAAAGAATGGCAATGTCGATTTACAAAACGTCGCGAATTTTGCCGTCAAAGAAGTTGCTATATTTTGTAGGTACAGATTGTACAGTCAGCCAAGTAACTTGGTATAAAGATTGATTCAGTACAGATACAGAAACCATTGTTTAGCTACCAATAGTTACAGGGTACGTTTCATTAAAGATTAAGAAAACACGTATAATAAATAATCTTTACTGAGACATCCCAAATTAACTGATTGAAAACCTTTTAAGTTAGTAGCAGCAATCATAAAAAATATCGATTGGTATTCACTTATGTGACATATTCATACTTCCAAACATGGACACGTACACACACTTACATACACACCTACTACACACACACGCACACATGCACACTTACTTACTCACTCATATACACACACACACACGCGCTCACACTTTTACATACACACATTTATATTTAAGGATTATGTTTTTTTTTTGTTTAGTTTGTTAGGGAGCCTGGGCCTCACGACACAGGGAATCAGGGAAGGGGAGGGAGTGTGCGGTCCAGGATACAACAATATTGTAATCTTTTCTAAAATAAACATTATTCTTATATTCTTATTAACTAACAATCGCGGGTTACTAACTTGAAAATACTGAGGAAAGCTCTACTAGTTTCCAGCCACATAGGGGCTCTTCCTTATGAGCAGCGTGCGCGGTCGCGGCGATGTTGCGCTGCCTAATAGCTCGTTTTGGCGCTTGCGTTGATGTTGTTACTTGCGTTACTAAGCTAGTAGAACTTTTTCAGCATTTTCACGTGTATAACCTGCGATTCTTAGTTAATAATCTTTCCCATCTGTACAGAATCAATCTGTATTTTCTAACCTGCATGCCAAATAATTTAGCCGACAGTACATGCGAAAATTGTGAGACGAAATTCTCTTAGAACACGTCACTTCCGTGTTATACATGTCATATAGATGGTATGTTATGTTATATTGGACGGAAACATGTATGTAGGTAACATGTTCTGAATAACATCTCGGTTCTATTGTCGCTTGGGGTTTTTGAAGAGGGTTGGTATTGAAAAGATGAGCACACTAGGGATTGAAAGATCCTCATTGTTGGTGACTTTTGGTGATGTAATATTCGCAAGTAAAGTTTAATGATAGGTATGTATCGGATTAGTACATATACTATAACTGCACGCTTGTCTCCTATTTAGGCAGAGACTATGGAACGCCAATCGCTACGATACCTACACACCTCTTTCTATAATCTATTTTTCTTGTGGCATCAAGCATTTCTTTCTTTATTTAAACAAGAGTTTATTTTTTTTCTTGTATAGAAGCACTATTTTATATGGATTGTCAGTATACATATGTGAGGACCATGTCAGACTTAAGATATTTGTTTTCTCTTGGTTTTGTTTTTTTTTCTATTTTAGTATGTTCTGTTATTTGTATGTTGCGTCAGGTATGTCTTTACATTATTCTCACATGTGTGTACAATATTGGAATATGTATCAGAGCAATGTAAAACAGACTTTTTTTAAAAGAGTAACGAATGGAGTTTCTTGCTCGTTCTACTCCACTCGAATCGACATTTTGGAACGAGCGCCTAGCTTTACTGACGGACAGACTGACAGACTATTATATATTTCATATTTGTTGACGTTTTAAAAGTACCAAATTATGGTTTAATTGAAATAAATGCTTTTGAGTTCGCTTCTTCAACAGTCATCAATCTGTTCATGTTTGCTCGTTGATTAAAGGTTAAATAATCTAGAAAAAATAGGAGTCTAGAATTGTACCTGGTATATGGCAATAGGCTCACTCCTATTACATGAGACTCATAACATAAATAGTGAAAAGTGGGTGTTACTTGTACAGTGGCATTAAGTGCCGAAATGTGCACCTCTGCCTACCCCTTCGCGGATCTAGAAATATTAGTAGGTCTGTAGCTCAGTAGGTTATAAGTAAGTAATGATCTACAAACTTGATATACCTCTAGTACATAGGTAGGTACTTTATTAATTGTCTATAGCGGTTATCTACCGTTCAGAGATCAAGGGTTTTTAAGATAAAATAGTGCTTCAACGTTTAAGGTTACCTAGATCTCTTAAGTATGTATTACAAATATTAATGTCATGTTTATTTTATTATTTATTTATTACAACACTTTACAATATGACATCTTACAGTTTATTCGCGTATTTTAATCGCTGACGGGTAGATAGATGTGTATATATTTTTTACATTAAATACTAATATAAAACTGAAGACTTTGTTGTGTGAACGTGCTTATCTCCAGAACTACGGATCTGATTTGAAGAATTATTATTGTGTTGGATAGTCCATTTGTCGAGGAAGGTTATATGCTATAAAACATCACGCTACGATCAACAAGCACCGAGCAGAGCGGGTGAACCTACGTAAAAGTCATCATCATCATCATCAACAGCCTACAAATGCCCACTGCTGAGCAAAGCCTCTTCCCACACGGAGAAGGTTTAAGCATTAATCACACTTGCTTAATGCGGGTTAGCGATTTCAAACTTATAATTACAAGTTATAAGTCCAGGCTTCCTCACGATATTTTCCTTCATTGAGAAGTTTCGTGAATCCGAAATGTACTCAATATAATAATATTGTAACAAAGTATTGTTCGCCTACTTATCGAACCCAAAGAAGAGTCCTCAGGAGTCGCACTTTGGGCCCGGTCGATCAACGAAACAGTCCTTATTGTCGTTAAACCAATTAATTAAATACAAAAAACAACGCTTGCGTTGTTTTTCATCGTGTGAGTGAGGTTATCGGAGGCCCAATTACCACCCCTCTCCAATCCCCGAATCCCTCACAATCCTCAAATTCCCAATTCCGAAAAGGCCGGTAGACGCACTTGTAACGCCTTCGGTGTTTCAGGTGTCCATGGGCGGCGCCGATTGCTTACCATCAGGTGATCGGTCTGCTCGTTTACCGGCTTATGCCATAAAAAAGGAAACTAGATTGTGTTAATAGTTTATCATAATCCTCGTTATCAGTCGGAAGACGTCTCTCGTTAAACAAAGACCTCTCCATCACTAAGTAATTGTTATAGTAAGGAAAAAAACGTTCGTAACTTAAACTTATAGGTACATACATACATACATAACCTCACGCCTGTCTGCCATGGAGGTAGGCAAAGACTATGAAACGCCAATTGCTACGATTCTAACCGACTTCCAAAAAAGGAGGAGGTTATCAATTCTGTTGTATGTTTTTTTTGTGTGTGTGCGTTACCCGATTGCTCCGACGTTTGTGGACGGATTTTGACGATAATTTTTTTGTTGGAAAGATCATATTTTCGGGGTGGTGCCATTTTCACCAGGTTAGGATCTGATGATGGGATCCCACGGAAACCAAGGGGAACTTTTCAAAATTATATTGATGGCGAGTGCGTTTGTTAATGTTTTGATTACATTTTTGCATTAGTTACATATTAGGTACCTACTTGCGTTTACTTAAGCTTATATAATGTATAGTTATAAGAATTTATCTCAATATGCATCATAGGTTGTAGAAACCATCAATACTAAAAATCTGCAGCCCTTATTTATATTACTTTCTTCAAGCAGGTCGTCCAGAATAAAATCACTTACGTTACTTAGGTTATTTGTATTAAGTACCTACGTATTTATCCCAGCCTGCCTAGACTAGACTCTTCACAAAATAAGACTCCATTTTAATTGAAATGTCAACGGTCACAGTTCTTCAGTTTCTTTGTCTCTAAGACTGCTGACTTTAAGCCCCTAACACCTATAATTCACTATTAAAACTTTTTGAATAGACCTGACAAGACAAGATTAATTATATATTTTGGTAAATAATGGAAAGGGTAACAATAATTCATAATGGGCATCGTGAATATTGTCTGGAAATATAGCGGCTATTGTTTGAATATTTAGAACTTGGATATTTGGCATGGCCTGCAACCACGGTACTACGGAAGCAGTATAGATTGCGTATAGGGTTACCACGAGTAACAAGACCAAGTCTTTGATTTACTGTTGGGTGACCTTCGTCACCTATGCAAATTAACCTCACTCACACGACGAAACACAACGCAAGCAATTGCAAAGCAATTGTTTCACGTCGGTTTTCTGTGAGGCCGTGGTTATCACTCCAGTCGAGCCGGCCCATTCATGCCGAAGCATGGCTCTCCCACACTTAAACACATTTTCACTAAAGTTTTCATTCATAGGATCAAGTCAAAAACGGTATGAGTTTCAGGTTAAAAACATTAATGTTAAAATCTTTATTACAACCTCAGGTAGCATCCCTATCTCCAAAATTGGTACTACTTTGAGGCGGCATTATTGATTCAAAAAGCGGCTGTTGGCCGTAGTAGCTAGAGGCTAGGTGACAGCCGATACGACAGCGAGTATAATACATACTAAACTAGTTTCTATAGTAAGATGAGGTAAGTCTATTTTAGATTTTCAGGTAGCCATTTGTATTTGTCTGATGTATTCATAAACATTAACGTCTAGGGGTGCGTCCACATTTGGCGAATGTGCCGCTTGCGAGACGTTCGGCAATGGTTTAGCGCTAAGCTCACAACGTTCGTATAAAAAATAATTTCCAATGCACGCGCGCAGCTCGCGATTTACTCGCGAGCTGTGCATTCGCGGAGCATTCGTTAACTGTGGACGCACCCTTATAGGAAAAAAAGATATGATATTTAAATTAAACAAGGTTAAATTAGAATTTTATTAATTAAGTATACATGCATTACTTATTTAAGTTGAAATTCAAACTATTTGCTTTTCGATATTAGATATCCTTTTGCACGTTGAAATAGTTCGCAGTTTGAGTAGGTAATGTAGTTTTAATATATTAAGCATAATACCATTACCGAATAAGTAAAAAAAACCTTAATTACACGCTATACCAAAACAATCAAAAACCTTCATAAACGTATCCACTTAAGTATCTACTGTATGTAAAATCTACTCATTCCCGAGTGAAATAATTCAAATACTAAGAAAACTATATTATATCAAAACACAATTTTATTCCAGAAGGAATATTACTAGAACATCGGTTGTTTAATGTTATTTACCTAATCTTAAAGGATCCAATTCAAAATGGTTTCTAGGAAAAACGTAATACATGTTCCTAAAAGAAAATTGATTTTGTTATTGAATCAAATTTTGTTCCGCCATAATTCTATGAGGAACACTTTTTGAATCATGTAACTGGCATGGCACGTCCATTGTAGGTAATTTTTATAATTTTTTTTTCGATGTTCAAATTGTTTTCTTATGTAAATGCTTCTTTGTTTATTTTTAAGTAATTTGATTAACCTTCCGCTATTATGTCAGAAATAAAATTCAGAATTTAAGATTAGGTATAGGAGCTATACTGGCAAAACTATACCACTTGGAACTCCATCTGGTCGCAAGATTACATTTAAACTACTTTTCCTTGATTCGATAATTACCTTTTCATAGTTTCGTTCGTTTGTTTTAAGTAGTTTTTTTTTTGACCAGGAAAAATGAAAAAGAAGTATGGGAGAGCCGGCCGGCCGGAGTGTTACCACGGACTCACAGAAGATCGACGTGAAACAACTCTAGCATTATGTTTCGTCGTCAGTGAGTAAAATAACTGGATGCCCAATTATCCCCCTCCCGCTCCAATTTCTCCAATCTCTGAATCCCAAACAATCGTCAAATTAATAATCCCTAAAAGGCCGGTAATGCGCTTGTAACTTGTCGACCTATCAAGTATAAAAAAAACACCTCCGGTATTCCGGGTGTCCATGGGCGACGCCGATGGCTGACCATCAAGTGATCCGTTAGCTTGTTAACCGGCTTATCCCATAAAAAATGAAGTTGACTGTATGGTTAACGTAGTGGCTGTGTCATCGACTGTCAAGCTTCGTTTTACGATTGATTCCCGCATGGAACAACTTTTTGTGTGATCTACAAATTGTAGTTCCAGGTCTGGTGCGATGTATGTGCGACCACTCGGCCAACGAGGCAGTCACACTATTTTTTTAATAGACGCAATAATCATAATTATGATTAAGCCATACCAGTTTATCCTAGAGTAACATAATAACATGTTACTTTATAACATAAATAAATAAAGTGAATAACTAAAGTAAATAAATAAAGTAAATAACATGTAACATGTTATCCTAGAGTGTGCGTCTTTATATCAGGATCAACTGGTTTGTCCTAGCCTAAACTGGTTTATCCTATCGGGCTTAGGACAAATTAGTTTGAACTAGGCTATACTAGTTAATCCTGACGCGTATAGGAAGAACTAGTTTGGCCTAAGCAAAACTAGTTTGTGCTGAAATCGGGTTTGGCCGGTAACATATATATACTTATGTGAATTTATATGTCTGTAGATGCAACCATGGCCATTAAAGGAAAGCTAGTTCAAAACCCAAGTCAATCTATAACCCGTTATATCGTGTAAGTGCAGAGTAGTGTAAAAGGATAAAGATTCCCATGCGCCAGGCGACCGAGCACAGCAATGCAATGTCCCGCGTCGTCGCATCCGTGAAATTAGATCTCAAAACCGATTTCACGACATCACTTATATTAGTATTGTGAGGGAAGGTCGAGATATAAAATCTTGTTATGATATCTCTGGACTGCTTTGGACGTTGAGTTGTTGTGAAGTTTGTGCTTTCTAGGTTTATACTACGTATACCATGTCGTGTGGCCCGGAGGTTTAACTCGCCCGCTTCTCATGCCTGAGAATGCGGGTTCGAAACCTACCAACGGCAAGTACCAACGTGACTTTTTTCGAGTTAATATAACCACTTCCTAACATTATTAAGACACCACTGACACACAGTGAAGGAAAACATCGTGAGGAAACCTGGGCTTGTAATTTCTAATTATAAGTTTGTAATCGGCATTCCGTATTGAGCAAGCGTGGTGATTAATGCTCAAACCTTCTCCGTGTGAGAAGAGGATTTGTTCAGCAGTGGGCATTTGTAGGCTGTTGATGATGATGATTACGTATAGTAAGGAGTGATATTAGTATCTTCGTTACACATAGAGGCCCTGTCTTTAGGAAATAATAAAATGAAATACGAAAACGCACGCAGCACGATACGGAACCAAATGATAGAAAAGACTTTGGTAAAGCGCTTTCATACTGACACAGGACAAATGGAAATTCTCTAAAATAAGTTCTTTTCGTACATAACCTTCATGGTAGAGTTTCTTTTAACGCTTGTGAGTTGAAGATTGCAGTTCTCTACACGAAATAGGTCGGCGTTCACTATCGCTTTAATCAAAAGGTATCAAAAAGTGTTGTTGACCAGTCTCTGATAAATATGAGTTCCTTGATTTAATTCTTTTGACACTTTGATACGTCACACGGGCAGTGCCTCATCGCCCAAAGACGCCTGGACCACCAGAGGCGTTATAAGTACGTTACCGGCCTTTTCGGGATTAGGAATTTGAGGATTGTTGGGGATTCAGGAATTGGGGAGATTGGGGAAAAGGGGAGGGTAATTGTGTCTCCGGTAACGCAAGCGTTATTTCACGTCTGTGAGGCCGTGGTGTCACTCAAGTCGAGCCGGCCCTTTAGTGTTAAGCATGGCTCTCCCACACTTAAAACACTTATTCTTCTCAGCAAACTCCTCATCCCATCGTGCGCTTTTGTGAGTACAAAGTTGCGAATAAAAACTACTAACTAATAATAAAACTAGACGCCTACCTGTAAGCTCGTTACACAGCATCGCAATGGCTGGCGAGTTAGTATCCCTCCCGTCAAACACTTTGATGATATCCGCACGGCGCAGGCAACTGAAATGGGAAAACAGCCTTTATTAATTTACGAGAAACATGAACTAGGACACGCTGTATAATCTAGTGGTGTAACGTGTTGTAGAGATGTTACCTGCCTATCCGTAAAACGGTCGATTGTTTTTAAATTTTATTAGGTATACGTATTTTTTTTATGGCCACAGATATTTTTGTATGTGTGCCATGATTTGGCAAGAAAGAAGCTCGACCGGTATTATACCACGGCCTCACAGAAAACCGACGTGAAACAATGCTTGCGTTGTGTTTCGTCGTGTGAGTAAGGCAACCGGAAGCCCAATTGCCCCCCTTCCTTCTCAATCTCCTCAATCCCCGAATCCCCCACAAATCCCAAATTATCAATTCTCAAAAGGCCGGTAACTCACTTTGCTTACCATCAGGTGACCCGTCCGCTCGTTTCACGGCATAACCCATAAACAAATATGTGCAGTATTAAGTAGATTTTTTATTTGGTTATATATAGGTCGATAAACTAGGTCCCAGTGTATAAACTAGTGCTGTATCGTTTTGTAGAAACGTTACATAGAATGAATGACACGTAAAAGAAAGTTTGTCTTTACATCTATTTGCGTTTTAATTAGTTAATATCGCCGATGTTTTATTTGATTGGATTTAGTTTTCATCAATTTTAGTAGCTATATCAAAGGGCAAGAATCAATAACTAACCAATAACGTCGTAAAGTCCTTAACATTATTTGCTCTATATTTTTGACTTCACAAAAACCCTTTTTCCTTATCCCTCATCGGAAACCACTAAAACAATCGAGTACTCAGTATGGAAACAAACTTTTTATATAGATTCTGTTAGCTGTTTAATTTTATATAACTTCTCTCCCGTACCCAATACAGTGACCACAAACAGTTTATAGGTCTGTGGTTACCGCTGTGGGTACTCTCGGTAGTGGTAGGGGTGCACCTCGTAACGACATAATTAACACGACATTTATGGTTTAAATGGTATGCGTGTAACTGTGTGACGTTATTACCGCAGATAGAAATGTGATGGCAGTGTTAGAAATTTTTCATTGAGTTTTTTTTTATAGTTGATATTATGTAAAACTGATACTGTGTCTTATATCATTCTTACTTGCCTGCCACAGGTCTTTAGGAAGAAATTCCAATAGGAATAGGTGGTGCCTTTGTACTTCAATTTTATATATGTGTTGTCCTTTATGCTGTATGTGTGTACATAAATTATGAATAAATAAATATTTTAGTTTTATCTGACCTACGAGACCAACAGTGCAAATCAGTCCACAGTTATATGGACCTCTCCTACTGGTTGGAGATCTTAGTTTAAACTTTAAACGTTGCGGCAGAGCGCTGCTTCTTTGTCAATGGGTAGTCGTTTGTCGTGATTCAACTTAGTAATCGAGACTACTTAATCGGAAGCCTCACTGAGAAGTACTCCATCAACGAACGCTGTGTATTTCATAAAGAAAACAATTTACTTCACCACTTAACTTTTTCTCGATAACACTTAAAAATAAATCAACCATTCAACCATTTTTTCCATGGGCAAGTTTCCGTGTGAAATTGAAAGGCTCTCGCAATATATTCCTGGGTTCTGCTTCTGACATAGATGACGTCGTAGTATAACAACGTCATACGTTTTATGGGCGCTCTCTCGTTACGGCAAATTGTCGTGTTTGCTTTATTGGACAACCGTTGATGGGAGAATGAGTTGGTTGTGTTGTGTTGTGCGTAATATACAGAAAAAGTGTTGTTTAGTATCAGAATCCTTACTAATATTATACATCGGAAAGTGAGTTTGTTTGTTTGTTCCACTTTCACGCCGTAACTACTAAACCGATTGCTTTGAATTTTTGCAGACGTAAAGTTAGAAGTCTGGATTAAATAATAGGGTACTTTTTATCCCCGAAAAAATTGACATTCTCGAGGGAAAACGAAATTATTGGTATAGATGGCGCTGTGTGTATTGGTATATGTCACGTAGGCTACTTTTTATCCTTTTGTGACGCGAGCGAAGCCGCGGGTAAAAGCTAATATTTAGATACAAAAAAACACCTAATTGTACTCATTCTGAATTTATCTTTGATTATTTTAAAATTATTTAAAGTTAGTATTATTATTACTATAATTGAACTATTGTTACATCTTATGGAAGTTTTTGTGTTTACATATCATTTATTTTTTTAAATAAATAATTCTCAAATAATAGGAACTAGAGATTTGTCGAATATTGGGTGTTATTTATGTTGAAGTCTAATCACGCGACATTATCATACATCGAATTGAAGCTGTTTCGTGTCACTAGTCTTTCTTTTGAAGCATAAAATAGGTGCGTTATAAAAACAGTACAAAGTCTCGTTATTATGTTAATGTAATGTTCACAAACTCAGGGAATGCAACGTAATTATATGTTTAATGCACTTTACTAACAAGTACCTCCTTGAGGACTTTTAAGTGAGTTCCAGTAAGTAGGGTGAGGACTTTATTTTAAATTTCGTTTTGTACAACGAATAAATCTCCCGTTCTATCTTTTAATTAAAGTTTTAAGTTGCATTTTAGTGAATGCTAGATAAAAATAAATTGAAGTAGGTAAAAGATTTTTGTTCATGCATTTGCTTCTGTGTGAATTGTTTTTGTTTGATCTTTTAGGAACTAGGGAATGACTACAGAAGATTTCTCTGTTTATAGACTAAACGTTTTAATAATGAATAAGTAAGTACCTTTTGCTTGGAACATTGGGGGAAGTTTAACGCCGGACGGCACCTAATGCCGGTACTTGTATTATCTCGATAACTAATAACGCGATCGATTCAATTTTTAGGGGGAAGTCTCCCAGTGGCAGATTCCTAAGATTTTTAGTAAAAATTGAATCGCTTGTGTTATCAATTATCGTGATAGTGCAAGTGTCCGGCGTTAGGTGCCGTCCGGCGTTACGGGACTTCCCCTATATTAATCGAACCCAATTCTTCAATTAAAATCAGCCGTAACGTAACACAATTTTTTTTTTCTTAAAAACGTTGCTCCACACTGACATTTTCTCCTGTGTCGTGGGTGCGTTTACAAACACACAAGTTCACATACATCTGATACCCAGACCCGAAACAACGATCTGTGGATCACATTATGAGCCCATGCAGGAATCAATAACGCGACACGTTGTGCGGCAGCCAGTTGCCCAACCACCGCGCCAACTGTGGAGTCACCATGAAATATTACTGCCCAAGTAATTCAGTTTTGGTTAATTTAGTTAGTCAAGATCCACTGACCCTACGGAATTCCTTCCCAAGAATGTTCTCAGTTAACTGAAGTTATGTTAAGGACTGTGCTAGCAATGTATTTTTTTAAGGGGGGAAAATCATCGAATGACAGCTCCCGCCTGGGTGAAGCGGGAGGGAGTTTCAGACTCTTACTAATTAAAAACCACCCCGTTCCTTCTCCTGCACGTCGAGCCGGAATCCCGGTTACCCGTTAGGTTCTCCGCGACTCTAGCAATGTATAGGAGTGTACAATTCACAAATGTAGAATGGTTGTGTACAAACCATCGACGAAATTGGGTCAAAACTGTTTTGTGAAACCACACATAATTTATTGTAAAATGCAACCAACAGCGTGACCGATGTTCTGTTGAATTACTAGTTTTAATATTAACGTGTTAAGTGGCGGACAGTTTTATGGTAATTCAGAATTTTTGTAAACTTTTTTTTTGAGGGTGGAAAATTATCGATAGACTTCTCCCGCCTGGGTGAGGCGAGAGGGAGTGTCAGACTCTTACTAACTAAAAACCACCCCGTTCCCACTCCTGCCCTTCGAGCCGGAGCCCCGGCAACCCGTTAAGTCTTCCGCGGCTCCGTAGAATTTTTGTAGACTGGAAATATGTTTTTTTATCAACTTATACTTTAATATAAGGTGTTACTAAGATTTGTGATACCCAGGCCAAAATTCACTGTTATTTGATAACATCATAATATAACATCACGCCTTTTATCCACATATCCACAGGTAGAGGTGCACATTATGCCACTGTACAATGTAACACCCACTTTTCACTATTTATGTTAAGAGTCCCATGTAATAGGGGGTGAGCGTATTGCCACATACCGGGCACAATTCCAGACTCTGTGCTACTACTGAGATTTTTTTTTGTAAAAAAACCCAGTAGTACTTTGCCCGACCTTTGTTATTTGATCAAATAATAATTTCGCTCTTAAAGCAAAGTATGACAATTCAAAATAGGTTAAAGAATAAATAACAACAAGTTAATTGACAAAAAGCTTCACATTACATTTTTTGTATGGCCCTGGACCCCACACTAAGTATTTTGGTACATTAAGTGACCTTCAAATTTTCCATCGAATATTTACCTGCTAACATATTTATAAACAAGCAAAATTTTCCTTAAACTAGTTTGCCACTAAATCTATTACGGTCTCACCCTTAAACGGATTAGTTGGAGCAAATTCCTTTACAAGGTGTTTCGTGTTGTCGATGTCAACGCCCGGGGCGTACAAGCTGGTAAAATATTCAGTTTTGCATCATTTATTTATGGCTACACCGTATTGATTGGCAAAGACTAGAAAAATGGTGTCTGATTTTGATCAACCTGTAGATGTGTTTGTAGAGGTGGGACGATGTTTTAGTGCTAAGCCAGTTATAATTTCAAAGAATATAGGTATTATTTAAAATTTTGATTAATAAAATTAAAGTAATATTATTTGCTTCCAAATGGGAATTCACAAAAAGAAGTTTAGAATGCGATTGCCACTTAGACAAATGAATTCGTGAGTTTTTAAAAATCATAAGAGCATATTATGAAATTATGTTCGACATCTGGCTATGGCCAGACGAATCATCTATATCTATCGATGATTCGTAGTGAAAAGTTGTTATAACAATTGTATCTACCTTTCCGTTCACCTTTCTGGAGAGACTAATTAAGAATGAAATTTATAAGGAATGAGTTTGAGTTCAAAGGTTCATGAACATCGCGTACATAATCTACCAAATAATTACACAGAAGAAGCCTGTTTCTAATCTAGGTGTAAACAATAATTATTCAGTAGTGCTATGTGACTGACATTACGTCACATGTCAAGGTTCGTATACAGATTATGTAAGCATTTTGGAATTAGGGCACGGTATTAATTTCACATAATACCTACTGCTATAGCTGTTTCAGAGGTGGTATTGTACTGTCTAATATGTGTTCATACATTAAAATTTATTGCTGTAGAAGAGGTGTTGATTAGTTAGACTAAGCAGTCACTTTTTTACTTAGACATTCAGGTAGAACCAGATACAGGCCTGAGATGACTTGAGATTCGTACAGCAGAGTTAATGTTCCAGCTAGATGGAGGATGATGTGATATCTACTAGGTGGCTGGCAGTGGTTGTATGAGAAGACCTGAACGATCTCAATGGCGTGCTATTGGAGAGGCCAATGTCCATCAGTGGAAGAACACGGACTGATGATGGTAGCAGGGTTGATATTATTGTGTAGTTATAATGCTCAAACCACTGGCTAAAAGTTATGCGCTGTAAATAACTCAATATATGTAATACATAACTCAAGGAAATGTAATCATTTGTCTGCATTCATTATAATTACAACCAAAAATTCAAGCCTAATTTTTAAAACAATAACGAGCACGCACGAAAATGTACAACACCCTATAATGGCAATCACGCCACTTAATTTCTCTCAGCACCACTTGACCGAAACTATTATGCAAAAGACCTCCAGGCTGGTATGACGTAGCGACCTAAAGCGGCCCATTCATGCATTATCCGCTTAATTAAACAAGTACGTATAGTTTATGAGCTGGGCTCATTAACGTGAGCACTAGTCGACCGTTAAAACCATAATTTAATTATGCCAACTCTACTACCCGCTTTAGGGATTGGTTACGGGTGGACTATTCCGGTTAACCGGGTTATGGAAAAACATTATCAGCTTGTGGAAGCCTATTCTTAGACTATGGGTCTACTAGTGTCTACGCTTGGCATGCTGGTTTGAGATCATAGTTTATGAGGTTCAGAATCAGATAGTACTGCCACTCGGTCTTTGTTTAATGCATAGTCATGTATTAGAGAGAGTCGAGGCCACAGCGTAATCGGCTTTTGTTTGTGAAACCCACGGAAGAGTAGAAGTGGTGACAAATCTAAATTCTCTTTTACCATCATCACTTTGGCTCGAGCCAGAAAGTGCAAGAGCATCGGCCTAAAAAAAATTGATGTCAAACAACGTTTGTGTTGTGTTTCGTTGTGTAAGTGAGGTTACAGGAGGCTCGATTACCCCCCTTCCCCAATCCCTGGATCCCCGACAATCCTCAAAATATATGAATCCCCAAAAGGTTGGTAACGCACTTGTAACGCCACTAGTGGTCCAGGTGTCCATGAACAACGCCGATTGCTTACCATCAGGTGAATTTTCTGCTCGTTTACCGGCTTATCGCAAAAATCAGACAATTTATATAAAAAACGGGAAGCCGAAATGCATGATTTTGGGAGGTAGACATATCTGGAGGGTGAATACTGTTTGTCGTGATGGTGTTGACGGGAGTTAGTACGGTATACGATTTTTGAATAATTTCGCTTTGTTATGATAATGTGTGACAAAATGATTGACAGCTGAATTATTATTTCTTAATACAGGTGAGGTATTGCGAAAGAAAATATTCTGTTTATTCAGGAATTCTTGGTTACTAAGGGTATTGTGATTGTTGTACTAACCACAATCTGTTTCAACAGATTCCTTTATAATTGATATTAGTCTGCGTTGACGTCGTTCGGTATCTTTCACACAACTGCAATTTTATCTCGAGTCTCCAAAATTTAATGATTAAATCGTTCCACCGAATATATTAAACAATTTTCTTCTTCAATAATAAAACAATTTTGTTAAAATCTCTCATAAAATAATTACCGCATGCACGAATATGGTGGAGCAAGCCAAAAACCGTAGCCCGAAATCGTTTGGCGGTCAGCTCTGCATAATTTAACACCTTCGTATGTTAACACAATATTGTGTGGATATTTTTCTTTTATATTTGCTTTAAACCCTAAAATTAAATATTTGTAGATTTAGTTTTACTGCTTTTGCATGGTTCTAAGGTATTTATGTGTATTTGTATACGAATGTTATTTCTAGTTCAACTTTTTACACATTTTTCGTTCTTTTTCTCAATCAACCATTTATAAAAGAATATTATAACAGAGTCTTTCTTAATTGAATTATCGAACATTTTAATATTATTCCATTTCCATAAATATTTAAATATTATTTTTCACACTTCAAAGGTTAATGTCAGTTCAATACAGTTTGATCAACTATAACGAAACTTCGAGAAATATTACAAGGCTTCCAGACTCTTAGGTTTCAAATATCCGCAGTTCCCTATTAGCATAGGTCACAAGAATATAAAGATGTCTTGAAACTACAGCGCCATCTGGCGGAGCTAGTTTCACCTTGCACGCCCGTCATCACATTCAATATTTTTGATCAGAAAATTCGATTATGACGCGCACCTCCCTAGTTTTATCATTCGATCTTCGAATATTGACGGTGACTTTATGGAATAACTTTACTTTTACGTGCAATTTTATTTTTATAGATGGATTTTTTAGCTTGAGAATTATAGCTACGGGAGTGTTTTATGATTATGTCGTCAGTGTTTTTATTTGAGCTTAATTTTGTTAAGTGTTTGCTTTTTTGTGGACGAATTTATAGGGTTGCAGATATTTTTTATGGTGGTAATAATCTGTAAATTCGTACTTCTGGACCGCGCCGTTTGTGGCTTCGTTTTTATTTCGGCAAAGAACATGCGACTACATAAAAATGCTATTAACTTTTTTCTTCGTAAATGGAGCATTCTTGGCTAAAAACAGCGAATAGTTTCGTTTTCCTGGACTCCTATAAAATAGGATGAGGTCACAACGAATTATACAGAGGCTGTGTTATCTTGTATTTTATTAACGCAGTAATTTTCCTAGCATAAATAAGTAGCCTTGTTATTCATCTGATGGGAAACACTAGTTTCACTGTAGTAATATAAAATGAGTGATTATTTCCTGGTTCTACAATAACATGACATGGTCAACTAACCTGATGTCACCTTTTTGGAGAGCAACTTCTTCGAATACAATTTTCACGCGTTCTTTTGGTCTGAAAATAAAAATCAAATATTAGTACGTAAGTCAATAGATTAGACTTATACTTACTTATAAAGAAGATTATTAATAATCATTATTAATGCATCATTCGCCGAGAACTTAAGTATGACTTTTGTAATTCTTTTTTAAAACGTTGCCCCACAATAATATTATTTCCATAAGTTATAGGTGCGTTTACAAACAAACAATTTCACATACATATGACACCCAGACCAGGAACAACAATCTGTGGGTCACACAAAGAGTTGTTCCGTGCGGGAATCGAACCCGTGACACGTTGCACGGCAGCCAGTTGCCCAGATGCCGCGCCAGCCGTGCAAAGAAATTGATCAAGCATAAATTGTACTATTAAAACTATGCTTCGATTTTGAATTTAACGCAAAACACTTATAAACGCACCTTTCTTTTAAAAAATTTTAAACCACAAGCAGTATAAACACCATTTATTTGTATTTGGCCAATACTCGACTAATCAACTGTCAACTCCCATTCACGTATCAATAAGATCCTCCCACAACCCATTCCTCAAGAGATCTTACCTGGCATGGAAATGGTAGGAACAGCGCACATTATTGGGGTAGATGGACGGGTACCGGGGACTGTACAACCGGCCGTGTGTCGGACGGCTCCCGGACCGGCTGAATTGGAAGTCGCATTCCGTACCCGGAACGTGCACGCCGTCCGTGTCGAAGATACCTGAAGCAAATTAGAAGGGATTCGGTATTGAGAGGTTGTTATAGTTACCTATGTAGGTGTGATGGATGGTGTACTGAAGACTGTAATCTTCTCTTTAAACAATTATAAACACCAGCAAGATTACTTATAGGTAAAATGGGCTTAATCATAGATAAATGATTTTGATGAACATTTTTTTTTGTATCACACATTTCTATCCAATTCCCACCAACACCAAAAACTTTAAACGAATGAAGTAAAGATTTAATTATTAAAAAATAAAAGTAAATTTTGCCATTTTAAAATATATCCAGCACATAACTTAATTTTTTTTCTGTTGAAAATGGAATAGGAAGCAATTTAAATTAATCGAATTCTTAACATCGATTCGATGCAGACTAAAATGTATTACATAGCTTAATTGAAAAGTATTAAACATAAATCCTAGTATCTCCCCTATAAAAATAAAAATAGGCAGTCAAATAAGAAAGTTTGTTTACATGAACAGCGTTACCCTAAATTTGGTCACACGACCCCATCGCAATACTTCCCAGAGAATTCGGCGCGAAATCTCATCAACATACAAATCGGCGTTTCACCCGCGTTTACTTACAGCTTGGGTATTCAATTTAACCGGTTGTCAAATGTCTCGTCAAGTGATTTGTTTTGCTATTTCTGTGAAGCAATCATAGAAGCTAACGGAATATGAATCCTTAAGAAAATCTAGTAGGTACTTTGAAGACTGCCTCGTTGGCCAGAGTGGTTACCAGTGCGACTGCCGGCAAGGGCTCTCGGGTTCGATTCCCGGGTCGGGCAAAGTGTGCACCTCTGCCTGCCCCTTCGGGAATAAAAGGCGTGATGTTATGTTATGGGCGTTACATTGTACAGTGGCATAATATGCACCTCTGCCTACCTCTTTGGGGACAAAAGGCGTGATGTTATGTATGAAGTATATGGCTTATGACGAAATACTCAAACGTCGTTCACTTTAAGTCGCGCTTAAACTGTCAAACACCAAGCGGTCACCGGTGACCGCAACCTATTGTTCTATAATTGTGTCTATAATGACGGTACTCGACGAGTTAAGTATAGTTCTGTCACTACAAATTATTTATAAAAAACAGAGATGGCACGATATTTAAGTACAACTTACAATTGAGTAGCCTTTCAGTAATCGAGTGTTACTCACATAGACGCGTATTGGTGAAACGCTCTACTAGTTTCAGGTCATAACAGGGCTCATATTTATAAGAAATGTGAGTAAGCTGTACTTATATTGTAAAAATAAATTTGGCATGTCTCACTATAGTTATTGGGTATACAAAAATGTAGGTCAGACTACAAGTTTCAAAAAGCACTCATGGCGTGTTTTTTCGGTTGTGAAACCCCAAGCAATAAATAGCACTTCTAAGTACAGACTTACCGTTAACCGCCACGTACGTCACCGGTAACCTACGTTAGCGGAGGATTTGCCTTCAGCAGTTTTCTGTCGGCAGTCAAAGCCTAGCCTAAGGACCCAGTAAGACTAAAAATTCCAGAATTGTACCAGGCATATATTGTACCTACATGTTTTGATCACCTTTTAAATGGAATTAATCAAACAACGGGCATAAAGTTAGTGCCTGTAACGCAAATACACCTCGGTTTACCAGTTTGGAGAATAATAAACAAAATGTGCTATAAAATCTGCTACAATAATATTAAATTATGGCTGTTCCAGTCGTTCTACGTTAATATACTCCGAGGCACGTATAACAGTTCACATAACACTTGGCATGAACTTTTTTGTACGAAAATATGTGAAAAAAAGGTCTCGTGCGACAAGGAACGCGAGCAAAAAAAGGGTTCAGTATGAAAATTTGTTAATTGGATTTTGATCTATAAATAGGGTATGTGTAAGGATCAGAATTAAATGGTGATGTTATAATAGAGAAAAGTGGTTAGACATTATATGGAAGAAGTACTTTTTTTAAGGGTGCAAAATCTTCGATTGACTTTTCCCGCCTGGGTGAGGCGGAAAGGAGATACAGACTTTTACTGACTAAAAACCACCCCGTTCCTTCTCCTGCACTTCGATCCGCAGCCCCGGTAACTCGTTAGGTTCTCCGCGACATGGAAGAAGTACTTAAAACACATTTTAGTTATTTTCATATTGCTCATTTAGATTCGTTGTTAAGTTTTGTAATCTAAAATGCAATCTACATAGATTCGGGAAGTAAATAATATGATAAACTAGCTGAACAGGCAGCTTTGTCTGTGTTTTTCTAAAATAAAAGTAGCCTATGTTACTCCTTAGTACATTAGCTACCCGCCAATAAAAGTCCCGTAAAATTCGGTCTAGCCATTCCAGAGATTAGCCAGTACAAAAATTGTAAAAAGTATTATTTTGGTATAATGTATCGTATGTATATTGTTATTGATATGAATGTGGTAAAACGCAGTTATTTCAATAAATTATAATTTGGTATAGATTATATATTTTATATTGTGACACGTAGAAAAGTATGCTTTAGCACAAACCGGCCGACTTAGTTGGAATATCACGGCTTTTTTTAAGGGACAAACCCGCTACAACCTCCCAAGACCGCTGCAACTCCTGCAAGCCAGGAGCTACAGTAAGACAACCATGAAAACACCTGATCACTGAAGTCCGGCGCGTCCTAGGGACATGGATAACTATCTTAGTTCCCGCAACGACGTGAATCAGAAGATATTAAAAGAGAACAAGAAAAAAACGATAGTTTCCACACTTTCCACTTAAAAATATCACGGCGTCATAGATGACTGGCATGAGAAAACGCTTGTGTTCTCGTGACGTCACTATAACTTTGATTTCACGCATTCTTTATAAAACAGACCCCTAAAAATGTTAAGAGCGGCTACTTAGTCCAAAGTGTTGATACTCTTCAGAATTATTGTGACTCAGATATTTGAAAGTCTAAGTGAAATGTTGTCTGTGTGTGTCTGTATGTGGCCACGGTCTGGGAGAAATATGAAGGCTTAAGAATTCGTATTAAAACCAGGCATCAGCTGTTCTTGTCCTTTTTGCTGGAGGAATTTTAATAAAACCGTATGTGTAATGTGTTTTTCTTCTTTGTCTAACAATTGAGATAAAAATGAGTTTTATTGTATTCATGAGATAGCAGTTCTGTTGATAAAGAATTAATCTAATCACTTATCTTTATAACATAACATCACGCCTTTTATCCCCGAAGGGGTAGGCCGAGGTGTACATTATGCTACTGTACAATGTAGCACCCACTTTTCACTATTTATGTTAGAAGTCCCATGTAATAGGGGATGAGCCTATTGCCATATACCGGGCACAATTCCTCCTGGCTCCGTGTGACTACTGAGACTTAAAAAAAACCGAATAATACTTTGTCCCCGACCCTTTGTCCGAAATCACTTATCTATTGGATAAAAAACAATCAATTTAGTGTTAAAATTAACAGTCCATTTCCTAAGAGGATGTACCATAGACATTTTATATTAGGTTTTCTGTGATATATGTATCTAAATATGTCTTTCATAATGAATTCGGAACCTTATCACAACACAAAAATGCATTAGAAAACTTTAATTCGTACTGTAAACACTGCACTCAATAAAAGTACACGAATTCGTTTTATTTTAATATACGGTAGCGTATACACGAACGCCAGATTAGGCATGTCACGCAAAAGCTTATTCGTTCAGCAGTCCACCACGCCTTATCGGATATTGAGTTCGCATGTGTAAACTTACCTTATTTATTAGGTTTGCGAACAAAGACATTAATTAGAATTTACGATTACGAGAATTTATTGGTGCAATAGTTCGGTTGTTGATTTTTGAGATAAAGGATATTTTTCATTAGTTTATTTGATTTAATGATTTTGATTAAATAACAGAAAATAAATGTTACATCATATTTGTCAATAGATCTACTATAGCTTGGGACTAAGTAAGATAATGAATTACAAAATTACAATAGTTTCGAAAATGATTTTTTATTTCTTTGGGTCACTTTTTTTTAAGGGGTAAAATCATCGAATTACTACTCCCGCCTGGGTGAGGCGGGAGGGAGTGTCAGACTCTTAATGACTAAAAACCACTGCGTTCCTTCACCTGCATGCCGAGCCGGCGCCCCGGTTACCAGTTAGGTTCTCCGCGACCTTTGGGTAGCAATAAGGGGTTTTATTGTAAGTCGAACACTAAAATTTAGATTCAATTACCATTTTTTTAACATAACATCACGCCTGTTATCCCTGAAGGGGTAGGCAGAGCTGCACATTACGGCACTTAATACCACTGTACAATGTAATACCCACTTTTCACTGTTTATGTTGTGAGTCCCATGTAATAGGGGGAGAGTCTATTGCCATATACCGGGCATATCCAGATTCCGCAATACTACTGACATTAAAAAAAACGCATTAATACTTATTATTATTATGTATGTCTTTAGGATTAATATTACTACTTTGCCCGACCTGAGACCCCTTGCCCGGTAGTCGCATTTACTACCGCTCGGCCTAATCTAACCATTTTATATTAGTAAAAAAATTACTGTTTTGTGCTAGTATTGTCGTCACCTCGGGGGATAACATTAATTATCTATTTAATTACATTGATAATGCAAACAACCATTCTAAATACCCAAATAACAAATCAAACAGTACAAACACGAACCGGGGAACCAAAAACTTTGACCTCATTGCACCATTCCCAAAACGACATTAATGTATGCCAGAGTTTAAATAAATTTTGTGTACATTTTAATCACATTTGTTCCCGTACTGGCGCGATGGACACATCAAGCTATACATAACCAGTTAAACATGGTCTCATTTTATATGGTCTTTCCGCACATTCAAGGGTCAGTTTATACTGGTTTTTGTATTGTGTGTGTGTGTGGTCATCTCTTGGGGATCATACGATGTCTGTTTATACGTGTCTCTTAGGAGCTATTGGCTTGTCAACATGGGAAGAGAATTAGAAAAAATATTTTTTGTTGAAGGCTATTCCAGTTGCACACA